TCGCTCAGTCGAGCGGTGCGCCGCAGTCTCTATCTTTCACGGCTGTGCCCCCTCCTAGTGCACGTTTACTGACGTTTCGGCTGCGGTCGCCACTGCGACCCCTCTTACCGAGACTGCTGCTGCGCGGTCACCCGCAACAGCGCTCGCGTCGCGGTGGCCGTGGCGGCCAGGGAGGTCGGGGTGGTGGCGCTGGTTTGTGGCGGGAGTGGTGGTGGTGACGTTAGTCCGCCCAAGAGGACTACCACGGGTGGGCAGGAGCAGACGCAGTCCCCTCCGCCGCAAGAGCAGCCCCAGCAGCAGCCGCCACAGCAGTGGGCTTGTCTCCCGCCTGGTTGGCCCGGCACCTCCGGAGGTAGTGGCCGTGGTGGCGGCCCGCGCAGCTCGGCATCTACCGTCGGCTCCGGTGCTGTGACCTGCCAGTACCAGCTTCAGACCGGACCTCTTCGCGGCACTCTGTGCCGCCGCCCGCACCCGACCGCCCGCTGTTTCCACCGCCTCGACGATCTCTTTCGTCGTCGCTTTGGCCTGGCCCCGGACCTCCCCGACTGGCACAGCCTGCTCCGCCAGGGCGTGCCGATCTTTGAGTTAGACATGGATCAGATAGGTGCTGCTTTGCATGCCTTGTATTCCGACGCTTCTAGTGTTGCTGGATCTTATTACCCTGTGTACTCTAGCTTAGGTGTTGCACCCTTGTGTACCTTAGCCTCCCCCTGCTGCGTCAGGCGTAGGACTGCCTAGCCTTGTCTCTGCACCGGCTCCGTTCCCGGCCTCCGCCACTGCTTCGCTGTCCTTCACTCTCGACCCCGGTGCTTCTGCCTGCTTCTTCCGCGACCGTTCCACGCTCACGCCGCTTGCTGCGCTTGCTGTTGTCTCTCTCGCCGACCCCTTTGCGGGTCCTGTCGTCGCCCGCAGCTCCACTTCCCTACCCTGTCCAGCAGTTCCCTCGGGCTCCCTTACAGGCCTCCACGTTCCCTCGTTCTCGAGGAACCTGGTTGGTGTCGGCTGTCTCTAGGACCTCGGCGTCACCACTACGTTCCCCGGGCACGAGCGGTTCGCTGTCTGTTCTGAGACTGTCTCAGGTTCCCCCCTTGCGACGTTCCCCCCGGGACCCGGTGTCCGGTCTGTTCACCCTAGACACCGCTTCTCCCCCGGTTGGTGCGTCCTCCCATGTCACCGCAGCTTGCTCGTGTCGGTCCCTCACTCACCCATCCCTTCTGTAGCACCACCGCTTAGGTCACCCTGCTCTCCCTCGTCTACGTCACATATCTCAGCACGGTCTTGTCTTAGGCCTCCCCGCGTTACTCCCTGCCCTTCCCCCCTCGACTGCGCCACCGTGCACGCCCTGCATCGAGGGCTGGCTCCGCCGTGCTCCTCACTCCTCCTCGCTGCGCCCTGCTACTGCACCACGGACCCTACACCTGGACGTCTGGGGCCCTGCCCCCGTCCCCAGACCGCGTGGTGAGCGCTACTTCCTTGTGCTCGTTGACGACTACACGCGCTACACCACGGTGTTTCGCCTAGAGCGGAAGGCCGACGTGCCCGACGTTCTTTTACCATTGGTTATGGCTGCACGTCTTCACCGCGGTCTCCCCGTGTTGTGTCTCCACTCTGACCGTGGCGGCGAGTTCACCTCTGGTCGGCTTGGACAGTTCTGTCGTGCGGAGGGCATCACCCAGTCGTACACCTTGCCGGACTCGCCACAGCAGAATGGGGTTGCTGAGCGCCGCATCGGCTTGGTCATGGAGGTTGCTCGTACCTCCATGATTCATGCTGATGCTCCCCATTTTCTGTGGCCGTTCGTTGTTCGCTACGCTGCTCACCATCTTAACTTGTGGCCCCGCTCCCTGCGGCCGCAGGTTTCGCCGACCCTCCTTTGGACCGGGTCCCCTGGTGATGCGTCTGCGTTCCACGTCTGGGGCTGCCTGGCTCACGTTCGTGCCTCTGGCAAGGACAAGCTCACTGCCCGCACTGTCCCCTGTGTCTTCCTCGGTTTCCCCCTGGACTCGTCTGACTGGCTTTTCTACCACCCGCCATCTCACCGCTTCCTCCACTCTCGTGACGTCACCTTAGACGAGTCTATCTCCTTCTACCGTCGCTTCCCTCACCGAGGTCTCCCGGTTGCCCCGCCCCTGTTCCTTGCTCCCTCTCCCCCAGTAGCCCCTGCTCCTCTCCCGCCTCGTCTTGCCCAATTTGGTGTCTCTCACATCACTCCCCTCCCGTCGGTTGTCCCCGTTGAGGAGTCTGCTGACTCTGGTGGTACCCCCGGCCCGTCCTTGCCGCGTCCCCCTTCCCCGGTGTCTCTGCCTCCACTGTCGTCGTCGCCGACTCCGCCGCAGCCGCCGCCGCCGCCGCTTCCGCCGCCGCCGCCGCCGCCGCCGTCGCCGCCGCTGCCGCCGCCGCTCTTGGCCTCTGGGGGTGCTGGCGTTGAGGCGGGTGTTCGTCCTGCCGCTCTTTGGGGTGCCGCTGATGTTGGAGGGGGTTCTCGCTCTGAGGGTGTTGGTTCTGGGGGTGCTGCTGTTGAGTGTTCTGCCGGCGGTCTTCCTGCCCCTGCCGGTCCGAGGGTTGCGGCTCAGCCGTCGCAGCAGCAGCAGCAGCCGTCGCCGCCGGTCTCCGCTCTCCGCCTGCTCGGGCTTCCCTCCCCTGACCGCTTGCCGGTGTCTTCCCCACCGCCTTCTGACTTTCCTGTCTACGGTCATATGTTCCCGCTCGTCTCCGGCCTGTCTTCCTCCTCATTCCCCTCATGTGTCCCCTCCGCTGTCTTCTGACCCTACACCTCCGTCCCACGTTTGGTTTCGACGTCCCTCCCGTGCTCGTCCCGTCTCTCCTGTCATGCGCTCCCACCCTATGTTGCTCCGTTCCCACTCGCCTCGTCCTCCCCTCCTCCCGTCCCCTCCTCCCTCGTCGCTTGCTGTTGCACCTCCTCCGTTGTCTGACTACCTCCGTGTCGCTCGTCCCCTTGTCCCTCGTGTTCTTGCCTCTCTTGTTACCGACCCGTCTGTTCCTGTCTCGCGCCTTGACTCGCTTGTCGCTGCTGTTGCTGACTTCGCCTCTACCCGCCGCCTTGACTATGCTACCCCTCTGGTCTCTGACCCTGCCCGTCCTCCGTCCGTCGGGGGTGCTTTTGCCCTTGGCAGTGACGTTCTAGAGGACAGGCAGTACGAGCTTGCTTTCCTTTTCGAGGCCGCTCCCCATCTCTGCTCCATGCTGTTAGTCCCTGAGGGTGACCCAGACGCCTTCGACATCCCGACCCCTCGCACCTACGCTGAGGCCACCTCGGGACCTTGGGCCTCTCAGTGGATAGCTGCCATGGAGCAGGAGATGGCATCTTGGAGGTCCACCGGCACTTACGTCGACGCAGTTCCCCCGCCTGGGGTGAATGTAGTCGATGGTCGATGGCTCTTCAAGGTGAAGCGCCCCCCTGGAGAGCCGCCTGTCTTCAAGGCGCGCTACATGGCCAGATGCTTCAGTCCGCGCGAGGGGGTTGACTTCTTCCAGACCTTCGCCCCGACCCCGAAGATGACCACTCTTCGGGCGCTGCTACACGTAGCAGCACAGCACGACTACGAGCTTCACTCCCTCGACTTTTCTACTGCCTTTCTTCAGGGCAGCCTACACGAGCAGGTCTACCTGCGCCGACCACAGGGCTTCACTGGTACCTTCCCCCCTAGGACCCAGTGGCTTCTCAGGCGCCCGGTCTACGACATGCGCCAGGCTCCCCGCGAGTGGCACGACACGCTGCGGGCCACGTTAGCAGACCTGCAGTTCTTTCCGTCCTCTGCTGACCCCTCGCTGTTTGTGCGTTCCGGCCTAACTCCGTTCTACATCCTTGTCTACGTAGACGACCTGGTCTTCGCTACTGCTAACAGGGACGCACTGGCCTCTATGAAGGCCGAGCTGCTGAAGAAACACACCTGCACTAACCGTGGAGAGCTGCGTCGCTATCTTGGCCTGCAGATCTCTAGGGACAGAGCAGCACGCACTATCAATCTGACACAGTCACACTTGGTGCGTCAGGTCCTTCAGAGGTTCGGTCTTCAGTTCTCCTCCGAACAGCCCACACCTCTACCTGTAGACCGTGGGCTCTCCGTTCCCGTTCCTGAGGAGCCAGTAGAGCCCAGTGGTCCCTACGCAGAGCTGGTGGGTTGCCTCATATACCTGATGAGTTGCACTCGCCCAGATCTCGCATACCCTCTCAGCATCCTGGCTCGCTTTGTGGCTACAGGCAGACACCGACCTCAGCACTGGTCTGCCGCTAAGAGGGTTTTACGTTATCTTGCAAGTACATCGGGCATGGGGTTAGTGCCAGGAGGACGCAGGCCAGTGGTCCTCACTGGGCACACAAACGCTTCTTTGGCAGACGACTCTGAGACTCTCAGGTCGTCTCAGGGCTACTGTTTTAGCCTTGGTTCGGGTGCTATCTCTTGGAGATCCACTCGCTCGTCGTCTGTTGCTCAGTCCAGCTGCGAGGCTAAGATCTACGCTGGTGCCATGGCGGCACTGGAGCTCCGCTGGCTTACCTTCTTGCTCACAGACTTAGGTGAGCGGCCTAGCTCTGCCCGGGTCCTGTATGCTGACAACAGGGCCATGATTCTCCTGTGTCAGGAGCCTCGGCTTGAGGGCAGAGCGAAGCATATCCAGCTGCGGTACTTCCTCCTGCGCGAGCTACAGCAGCGTCGCCAGGCCCGCGTAGTTCACTTGGCCTCCGGTGCCAACACTGCTGATATCTTTACCAAGGCGCTTGCGCCTAAAGATCATCAGCGGCATTGTGTCCTGCTTGGTCTTGTTCCTGTCGCTTCTCACTTGTTAGGACCCTGATTGTGTACTCTCTACTATTTATATCTGTCTGACTGTCCTTGTGGCCTTACCTCCAGTGGCTGGACTAGTAGTGCCGCCCTGGCTTACTTTAGTCTTGTTTGTACTCTTGCTGACTAGTCTCCGGACCCCTACCTCAGTGGTTGGACTAGAAGTGCCACCCTGAGCTGTGTGCTTCTTGTTTAGCTCCATCCCTTATCTAGCCTAGGGGGTGTGTCAACTTATACATATGTTCTATGTAGAAGTTATAGGCTATACTAGGTGTGTGCTTCTAGTGAGTACAATCCAACAGGTACATGTACTAGGTTTCCCTTCCTAGTAGATCATTATCGCATTCTAACAGTTACAACCCCCATATACATATTCCACACATTTTTCTATGTTATTGCCAGCCAGATCCGCGGGCTGTTATCCTGGAACAATACATATACATATTTATGCTTACAAGAAGTGTTGTCGGTGGCTGATGACGTTACAGGGATCGTATGTAGAAAGCAATGGAGCACGATAACGTGGAAGACATATTACTGTACAGCGAGTGAGAGGGATGTGTTCTTTGTTGCTGCATGTGAGGGATGAGCATCACAAGAAGTGTAGATACTGTAGCTGTGTTCGTTCCAGTATCAATGGAAGACTGCATGGATCTGGGAAATGTCAGTAGAGTCTGAAATAGTCAGGTGGTTTGCGAATCCAATTTCAAGTAGATTTGTGCACATGTAAAGCCATCATTGATGTGAATGCCATCTCATCCAATCCTACATTGTGGGGCATTTGTCACTACCTGGCTACTGCTACGCTACAACTGCAACTCATGCAGCATTATGGTTTGGAAAAGGGGAACGTACTTAACTATCGTTTGCACATCTATACACAATCTGCATCAGATGCTGAATCATACAACTATAATTCTACCTTGGGTGTTACAATCTGAGGCTGAACCATGTGAAGATATCCGTGTCAGGTCCATCAGAAGGCCCTGAAGTGACTTTTGACAGAGCAATCTCAATCTTGTCCTTGTGCACCATGTGACAGCATAGGTTAGGCTGAATCTCCCCATACAGACTGCAGGGACATAATGAGATGCGGAAAGAAGAAAATGTATTTCCACAGAAAAGACACAGCAGGATAAACACATCAAATGGGCAGATTCGGCAACAAATACAACTCTTGGGCGACAATGGAAAAAAAACATTACGATGCCTACTTCCAGGCGCTGCATGGACATATGGGAAGGAAGCACCCCATTCAGTGTGAGTACGGGGGAATACGTTACCTGTCTAGTGCAAGACGATAGCATACACTATCGTGAAGACCCCTTATCAGCAAGCAGAATGAGCTTATAGTGAATGAAGACGTTATGTACGAAGGCGGAAGGGCGTCCACGCCTGGAAACGGAACATGCACTCTGCGAGGGGATGCCGAGAAGGTGGATAAGAGAAGAGCATAGCAGAAGGGAAAAGGCACGAATAGACATCAACAATGGATGACGCAATGACAAAATTGCACGAAATTGCTGAAAAACACTTAACATGCCAACGCACTGCTCGTCGCATATGTGTGATAGTCCTCCGTGTCTTACCTGACACAATAATTCTCGTTCACCCAGCAGAAATCTTGGATGTCCACCATCATTAAGTGTCCAGTGTCAGGCAGAATAGCCTCATGAGACCCCTGTAAAGCCGGAAGAGCATTCTCGGATGGTCCCGTCGATCTCTCAAAGGAATCGAATCCAGCGATGTTATGTTCCACGGCGCAGTCGAACCCAGCAATGTCATGTTCGACGGCAGATGTCAACTCAAACCTGTCAGACGATTCAAGCCTGTCAGAAGGATCGTAGCCTACAGACGAAGAGAATCGTCCAGAGTTATCGAGCCTGCCTGAAGAATTTAATCCGGAGGGTTCTAAGCCGGGCATTATCTGCCGGGACTGGGCCAAAGGGAACGTCGACATTTCCGATGATGCGGGTAGCATGTGGGAAATTTTGGATCCGGACTCCTCAGGGAGGGAATGTGAGGAAAACCTGCTGTCAGGTAAATCATGTGAATGATCAGCAAGGAACATGTGTTGCTGCTGTTGCTGATGCTGGTGATGGTGATGGAGCTGCTGCGGCTGAGCTAGAGGCTGATATGGCTGGTTTGTATTCTGCAGCATTTCCAACACCTGCTGCAGTGACTGCTGTTGCTGCTCCTGCTTCTGCTGTTGCTGTTGCTGAAAGTGCCTCAGAGTTGGACCCTCAAACACAGACCTCTCGTACAGAGAACTGCAACCGTCGCTGAAAAAGCGTGACGCGGGCCAGACGTCATCCATTAATAACGCACCCGAAGCGGTAAACTGTCACAATAATCAGATGGAAGTAAAAGACGGTAAGCATGCACGACCCATAAGTAACATCACATGTGTTGCATTGAAGTAAGTTTTTTGAGACCGCAGACAGACACAACGAAACATACTGATCGATACCTAAGGAACATACGGGTCACAACTTTGACGTTAAAAAGGCGGTACTCGATTAATCCATATTTTAGAAGTGCTCAAGAGCACACTAAAAATTTCGGCCTCCAACAGCTGGCAGGAATCCACAAGGTATAAGAGGAATACCTCAAGCTTCCGAGGATTCTTGCTCGTTGCAGACAAGCAATGCTCCTTTGCAGTGTAAACTGCTGCAGCTCCACCTAACTGAAATTTGCCACGCTAAAAACTATTTACTGCAAACAACTACAGTGCGAACGAAACGACTTCGCACTCAACCTTACCAGGTTCACAAATGTCCTAGCAGAGAGAAACGAGGTCGATCACCACTGCCGTAATAACAAGGGAGCAATCTCGCTGTGGCGAACATTGAGCGAGGTGATTGGAACAATCTACGGAATAAAATATCCCACAGTCCTGGAATCTGAAGCAAAGTTCATAACATACAAAAAAGAGGCTCCCTAAATCTGCTCCAATCAGCAAGTCTTCAGTTCAACAGTGGGCTGCTGTAGACCCTATGAGAAGCTTGCAGCAGATGCAGCGGGCCTGCTGCCAGGGTAGGGTTTGTTGAACAGTACCACAGGTTAGGGCTCGTTGTTCGGTTCGGGTTCGGGCGAGAGACCCCTGACCTGGCCTCATTGTGAGAGCCTGCCTGCCAACCAAACCACCATCCGCCGTCGATTTGGGAAGGAACTGGCTGCTCGACATCGAAGTCGATCGAAACTTGAAACCCTAGCGGTGCACAGCCTCACTCTGCACCCACGTGGCTTGACAACTTGGCATAAATCACTTCGCGGATTGGCTGGGATTATCATTGACGGCTGTGCTTTTGCTCCGCGGTTGGCCTCAATTGTGATCAGTCTTTCCAATCGAGAGCTGGGTCGGTCGTTGAAAGGGACAAGATAGCTTTTGCTTCCCTCCCGTGTCTGTAACAGGTAACATGGTGATGTAACCGTCAGCGGACTTCGTTCAAGTGCAAGATCATCTCACGTTACACCAGTGTAACATTTCTGCAACATTAGGGCGTGTCACTAAAGTATGTCAGAATGCGGTTCGCTGAGCGATCTGCAACGGTTGGGTATGGTGTTGAGCCGAAACGAGAATTGTTTGGGCGTCAGGGGGAGGGCCCAAGGTCGAGGTCCTGGAAAGCGATATGTTGGACGCGCTAAGGCAGTAAGGATGACGAATTCCTATTACTGTATCCTGAATCTAAGTGGGAAGAAAAGAATGGGAGTGTAATTGTCCACGGGGCATTCCTCTGATTGGTCGACGCCTGCAAGAATCTTGGAACATTCTCGAGCAGCACCGCGAAAAGCGATGCCCCTGGATGCCCATTGAGAATTCCGTCGTGGCAATCCGGCCGTCGATCCTCCTTACCTCAACTGGCATTTGCTCCAGTCCATCTGTCTTCATGCATACAGCGCCATTTGTCACCTCGTTCAGTTGAACTGACCGGACTTGTTATTTCCGGTGAAGTTAATTCGGATCCAGCTCGACCTGCAGCTTACGTCCTTGAATCTCCTGCTCCTTAGCTCGCATTCCCCATGTCGGCGAAACCGGAGGAGCACGAGGGTGAGGAGGAGATCCTAGGAGGCGGCGTGTGGGGAGTGGATCTAGGGGTAGAGATTGAGGAGGCCCACCGCGCGGCGTGCTTGGCGGGGAATTCCACCTACGTAGACCCTGAAACAGGTGAATAAGTGTCTCTTCTAGCGAAAGGTTCGCCTTTCGCGCTCTGTGTGGATCAGGGTGTAGAAGTGTTAGAGGATCACCGCGCGGCATGCTTTGATGCATGGCGGGGGAATCCACTTACATGCACCCTGAAACAGGTGAACAACGTTTCCGTGTGGCGAATCAGCTGCATTTCGTTGAGTGGATCTGGGGGTGAAAGTGGATGATGCTCACCGCGCGGCGCGTGCTTGGCGGGAAATTCGACATACGTGGACCCTGACACAGGTGAAGGGCCTTTTCCGTGCGGGGGGAGTCAGTTAAATTTCGTCGAATGGCTCGGGGGGTACAAATGGATGAGGTCACGTGCTTGGCGAGTCAGTTGCATTTCGTTTGAAATGCTTGCCGGGGAATTCCACAAACGTGGACCCTGAAACCAGTGAACAACGTTTCCTTCCGGCGAAAGGTTCGCCTTTCGTTATATAGATGTGGGGATGTCCGTCACGCCGCCAGCTTCTTTGAAGCCCGGCCGCTGCAGCTGATCGCGAGTCTGCTCAAAGCTCAGAATGTCCCTGTGTCCCTCACATTTCGCCCATCTCTCCCCCCACGGCTACTCTTTCTTCACGCCGCCAGCTCCCCTGAAGCCCAGTCACGTTTTCTTTCGGCAATTTTTCAGGAATCGGAATGTTCATGTGTCCATGATCCATCGTTTGTGTCCCATCTCTCCCGCCGGCGCCGGCGCCCGCTCTGCTGAAGCCCGGCCGCTGCAGCTGGTATATGAGTATTCTGAAACTGTCAGCTACCGTTCTGATACACATGTGTGAGGAGTCTATTTTCTAGGCGCCTAAAAAATAGACTGTCAGCTACCGTTCTGATTCACATGTCCCTGTGTCCCCCACACTTGTCTCATCCCTCCCACCAGGCTATTCGGTGTTCACAGTGCGGGCTCTGCTGAAACCCGGCCGCTGCAGCTGACTGCGAAACTTGTCAAACCTCAGAATGTCCATGTGTCCCTCATATGTGTGTCTCTCTCCCGCCAGGCTATTCGGTGTTCACAGCGCCGGCTCTGCTGAAGCCCGGCCGCTGCTGCGGCAACAAATGCAGGTGCGGTTTGGCCTGACACCGTGACGAGTATGTGGCCAGTGGGACCAAATGCTAGAGTATGCGGCTCATTGCTTCCCGTCCTGCCCTTAAAACATTTCTCTTGTTTTGAGGCTTGTCGGATCCCTGGCTCATCTGGTCCTGTCGTGCCCTCACTTCTTGCCACTATGCTCATCCGGCCCTCCCACGTGTCCCTCACACGTCCCCATGCGCTGTTCGCGTTGCCTCCAGGCACTGTCCCTTGGGCCACTATGCTGTGCGCACCAGTGCCGTCATCCTTTGTTCCCTCTTGTCCTTCCCTCACTCTTCCTTCCCTCACTCTTCCTTCCCTCACTCTTCCTTCCCTCGCTCTTCCTTCCCTCACTCTTCCTTCCCTCACTCTTCCTTCCCTTGCTTTTCCTTCAAGCGTTGTTAGCCATGATAGAAGGGAGCAGCAGTGTAATCGAAACTTTTAGCAAAAAGATTGACAGTAAAATACACAAGTTGCCCGTGTAATAGCCAAGATCTCAGAAAACTGAACTCAGTTCCGATTCAAAATATTAAAGCAAACATGTTTCGACGTCTAAGATAAGGACCCTATAACATCTTCATTAGTGCAGAATGGAACTATGCAAGCGAGTAAGAGAAGCTCTTAAGCAAGAAAACCCCTCGACAGTACCATAATCTAGGCATGTAACAACCAAGGCTGAAATCTGGGCAGCCAATCCTGAGCACCCTGGAAAATTCCTGGGGTCAAGTCTTCAGTCCTCGAGGTGATGTCGTGTAAAATCACAGTTCGCCAACTGGTAGCTTTGGGAGCCTCGCGCACACAAGTAACTTTCGAATGTTACGCCCAGCCTTCCATGCAACAAAAATCCTCTCTGTATAAAAACCGCATGATAGGAGTCTAGTTTTGAGGCGCCTCAAAACTACCCCCAGCACGAGACGAGCTGGCAAAGGTGTACAGGTCGTCTTCAAGACTAGGGGTCCGCGGTAGAGGGGAGAGAATGTTGTCGCAGCAGCTGGCTGGCGAGAGTGTTGGTGAGCAGTGATGCACGCTGTGCGAAGAGTACACCTCTGAAGAGTGGTTGTAGGAAACGGGGCGGGTATCCACGGTCACGAAGGCGCTGGAAAAAGGCGCGTTTCATCGTGAGTAAAGCTGATGCAGATGTAGAGCGCAGTAGATAACGCCTCAGTTCCGCACTGATAAAGCTCTCCTTACAGTTCCGTGGGTGGAAGGAGGAGAATGGCAGGTACAGGTACCGGTTCATCGGCTTCTGCAATGTACGGAAGTCCAAGATACCACGTTGGTTGAAATGAGGTCCTTTGTGAAGGACGATGTCCAGAAAATCAACCGAACGCTCTGAGATCTCCCACGTGATCCGGATGTTGGGATCCAGGCCGTTGAAAATTCGCAGGTATTCCTCCAAATCCCATCGCGAACCTGGCCAGATGATAAGGCCATCATCTGTATAACGGACGTGGTAAAGCGGTGAGACCCCAGACCACCTTTCCTTCAGCAGCTCGTCGAGACGACTCATGAAGAGTATGGCGAAGCAGACAACTACAGGAGTTCCCATTGCCATGCCCCGCACTTGCTGGTATACTCGATCATCAAATTCAACGAAAGAATTCCTCATGACCCATCCGAGTAAGGCCATGATAGGAGATGCGAGCTGCTGGTTGTTCCTTGAGAGAAAATTGCTGACCGCGTCGAGTCCTCGTTCGATGGAGATGCTCGGGTATAACGAGGTAATGTCATACGTCGCGAGAAGTATGTGAGGCGGGAAGGCCGTTTCTTCAAGCTTCGCCAGCAGAGACAAGGAGTCACGTAGGTAGGTAGCACGTTCAAGCACGAGCGGTCGTAGTTCCGCATCCAACCATCAGCTCACATTAGTCGTTACCCACGAGTGTGAAGCAGCGATCGGTCGCCCCACGGGTATCTTCTTATGAAGTTTCGGTAGAATGTAGAACGCCGCAGGACGCCACCCCCTTGCAGGTTTGTCGAAGAAAAAATTCCATAAACTTTCCGGAAGAGCAGGTCCTCGCAACTCTTTCAGCTCGCTCATCTGCAGCAGAACAGTTGGCGTCGGCTCGTAGTATTTCGGCTCGTAGACAGCTTCGTCGTTGAGATGCTCCATGCACATCACGAGGTAGTGTTGACGATCCATCAGGGTTACGCCGACATTTTTATCTGCAGGCTTGATGACGATCGAGTGGTCGAGTGATAGGGAGCGCAAGGCCTTGCGGTTTCCCGTGAGAGATTAAGTCCGAGCAGAGGTCTAGACGCTTTCAACAAACAGGATAAGTCAACGCGAGCCTCCTTAAACACCTGCTCCAGGATAACATCCCCTTCGGGCCTCCAAGTAGGATTCTTCACCCGGAAACAAGATGAAGTCGAAGGTCCCTTGTCCTTAAAGAAAAATCGAGGGAGATCCGTCGATGCAGTTGATCGAGGTCCGCATCGATAGAAAAGTTCTAGGCAGGTGTAGGTATGAACTTGAGACCCATCCCGAGTGCCTTGGTCTCGTCGAGAGATAAGACCTTGGCACTCAGGTTGTGAACTCCGTGATTCCCGATGCGAGACTGAGCCTGGCGTGGCGTGAAGCGTGCGAACCAGCGGAGTGCGAGATCCCGAGCTGTTAGTTCTTGCGCGGCCCTTTTCCTGGGTCGCCGCCGCCGTTTTTTGGAACTTGAGCCTTAGTCGAGGTAGTTGGATGGCTCTTCCCTTGGTCGTCGCCGTTCGCTGGAGATTTCTTCTTGCCTTTCGTGCACTTCTTCCGAGCTTTTGGTACGTCTGCCGCGCTTCCAGAAGACTTGTTCTTCTGGTTCTTCGAGTGGTTCTCCGCTGTCTTGGATTGCGCAGTGGTCGACGCGAAACCCTGCTGTCGTCCCACCGAGACGCCCCGTTGAAACGCCGCTGATAGACTCTTATCAAGTTGCATCTTGAATTCCTTGCGCATCTTGACTTTGAGCTTCGTCACGCGTTTCTCCAGTAGCTCCTCGAATGTCGAATCCGTTTCCATCTTCTCCAGTTCTTCAGCAGCAGCCGATTTCTTCAAATCTTCAGCCTACTTGAACCTCCGCCTCTCTAGCTCCTTGATGACAGTTTCATCTTTGGCGGCAGCGTTCTCGGACTTGGCCTTCTCCACGCATGTACCCTTGAGGATCTGGTATCGCTCATTAGCCGCGTCAGAGACGGCTAAGTCAGGGTCAGTGCTGAGGCCTTGGATGTAGTCCTCGAGCTTGGTCGCCAGAGCAGTAAGGTGTGAAGCGGAAGCTAGCAGAATCTCCTCAATTTCCAACTCCTTCGACTTGATGAAGTCCTCCTGAAGGCGCTTCTGGTTATCCTGATGAACCATCGCAACAGACGCTGCAGACTTTTCCCGCGTGCCCGGGTACTTGGTCTGAAATTCGATCGCCTTGGTGCGGATGCCGTGCAAGATCACACCTTGGCTATCAAGCGTCTTCATTTTCTTCAGTTTAGACTTCGCTTTCAAGAGGGCCTCGAAATCCGTCCGGAACCCTTGACGGCCACACTCGTCCAGCCCTTAAAGGGCTCCGGAATGGTGATGGACAAGTCGAAGACGGTCGTCGGGTTGCCACGAGTCGTAGCAGCCTTTGGGACTTCTTTCGTAGCCATGGCGGGAGGATCCACAGTTTGCTTGTCATGCTGATCCTCGATGCAGGGATTTGCAGAGGTCGAAGCTCCATCGTTCTTGCGGAGGCGCTTGTGGGCACCATAGTCCGCATAAGTTTTTAAGGAGTAACCTTCCCGGCGAAGAATCATTGCGTAACTCGTGTCATTTACACCGGCATCACCTTCTTCAGTGGGGATACTCCAAGCGTTGTTAGCCATGATAGAAGGGAGCAGCAGTCTAATCGAAACTTTTAGCAAAAAGATTGACAGTAAAATACACAAGTTGCCCGTGTAATAGCCAAGATCTCATAAAACTGAACTCAGTTCCGATTCAAAAGATTAAAGCAAACATGTTTCGACGTCTAAGGTAAGGACCCTAGAACATCTTCATTAGTGCAGAATGGAACTATGCAAGCGAGTAAGAGAAGCTCTTAAGCAAGAAAACCCCTCGACAGTACCAAAATCTAGGCATGTAACAACCAAGGCTGAAATCTGGGCAGCCAATCCTGAGCACCCTGGAAAATTCCTGGGGTCAAGTCTTCAGTACTCGAGGTGATGTCGTGTAAAAGTCACAGTTCGCCAACTGGTAGCTTCGGGAGCCTCGCGCGCACAAGTAACTTTCGAATGTTACGCCCAGCCTTCCATGCAACAAAAATCCTCTCTGTATAGAAACCGCGTGATAGGAGTCTAGTTTTGAGGCGCCTCAAAACTAGCCTCCAGGCACTGTCCCTTGGGCCACTATGCTGTGCGCACCAGTGCCATCCTTTGTTCCCTCCAGTCCTTCCCTCACTCTCCCTTCCCTCACTCTTCCTTCATTTGCTTCTCCTTCCCCCACTCTTCCTTCGCGCACTCTTCTCCATGCCTCCAGGCACTGTCCCTTCGGCCACTATGCTGTTCGCCCCAATGCCTTCATGTTACGGACCAACTCGCTCACGGTGAGGCATGCGTTCACGTCAGCTGCCCTATCAGGGATCTGCTACATGAGTTCGGAGACTATGCCTTGCTACTTACTCGTTCTTACTCTCATCTGTGAGCTGCTGTAAATACCTTCTCTTCCCGCTTCCTCACTCACTCACTCACTCACTCGCTCGCTCGTGCACTCATTCCCTCACATCCCACAACCTGCATCGTCTGTATTCTCTCACAGGAGCCGATGCTTCTCTCTCCCACAAAGAATGCCTCTCTCTCCTCGCCCTCAATCGCCCTGCTCTGGGACGGCAGCCTGCCCGCCCTTCTCGCTCTCCAGGTATTGCTTTCTCAGCCAGTAAGCAGATCTTTTAAGTCAACTCCACACCAGAATCCCTCTCTCTCCTCCCCCGCACTCGCTCTGCCTAGGATCGGCATCTGCCCGCCCAAATAACGTCAACACGTCTGAGGTGTTTGGGTGCTCCATGGGTTGTGCTATCAGCTCACTAGGTGCTGCATGGGTTGTGCTATCAGCTCACTAGGTGCTCCATGGGTTGTGCTATCAGCTCACTAGGTGCTCCATGGGTTGTGCTATCAGCTCACTAGGTGCTCCATGGGCTGTGCTATCAGCTCACTCGGTGCTCCATGGGTTGAGCTATCAGCTCACTAGGTGCTCCATGGGTTGTGCTATCAGCTCACTAGGTGCTCCATGGGTTGTGCTATCAGCTCACTAGGTGCTCCATGGGTTGTGCTATCAGCTCACTAGGTGCTCCATGGGTTGTGCTATCAGCCCACTAGGTGCTCCTGGGTTTGTGCTATCAGCTCCACTAGGTGCTCCATGGGTTGTGCTATCAGCTCACTAGGTGCTCCATGGGTTGTGCTATCAGCTCACTAGGTGCTCCATGGGTTGTGCTATCAGCCCACTAGGTGCTCCATGGGTTGTGCTATCAGCCCACTAGGTGCTCCATGGGTTGTGCTATCAGCCCACTAGGTGCTCCATGGGTTGTGCTATCAGCCCACTAGGTGCTCCATGGGTTGTGCTATCAGCCCACTAGGTGCTCCATGGGTTGTGCTATCAGCCCACTAGGTGCTCCATGTGCTGTGCTATCAGCTCACTAGGTGCTCCATGGGCTGTGCTATCAGCTCACTAGGTGCTCCATGGGTTGAGCTATCAGCTCACTAGGTGCTCCATGGGTTGTTCTTTCAGCTCACTAGGTGCTCCATGGGTTGTTCTTCAGCTCACTAGTGCTCCTGGGTTGTGCTATCAGCTCACTAGGTGCTCCATGGGTTGTGCTATCAGCCCCTAGGTCTCCATGGGTTGTGCTATCAGCTCACTAGGTGCTCCATGGGTTGTGCTATCAGCCACTAGGTGCTCCTTGGGTTGTGCTATCAGCCACTAGGTGCTCCATGGGTTGTGCTATCAGCCACTAGGTGCCATGGGTTGTGCTATCACCCACTAGGTGCTCCATGGGTTGTGCTATCAGCCCACTAGGTGCTCCATGGGTTGTGCTATCAGCTCACTAGGTGCTCCATGGGTTGTGCTATCAGCTCACAGGTGCTCCATGGGTTGTGCTATCAGCTCACTAGGTGCTCCATGGTTGTTTTGTATGTTCTTTGTATCAGCTCACTAGGTGCTCCATGGGTTGTTCTTCAGCTCTCCAGGGTTGTTCAGCTCACTAGGTGCTCCATGGGTTGTGCTATCAGCCACTAGGTGCCTCCATGGGTTGTGCTATCAGCTCACTAGGTGCTCCATGGGTTGTGCTATCAGCTTCCACTAGGTGCTCCATGGGTTGTGCTATCAGCTCACTAGGTGCTCCATGGGTTGTGCTATCAGCTCCACTAGGTGCTCCATGGGTTGTGCTATCAGCTCACTAGGTGCTCCATGGGTTGTGCTATCAGCTCCACTCACTAGGTGCTCCATGGGTTGTGCTATCAGCCACTAGGTGCTCCATGGGTTGTGCTATCAGCCCACTAGGTGCTCCATGGGTTGTGCTATCAGCCACTAGGTGCTCCATGGGTTGTTGCTATCAAGCTCACTAGGTGCTCCATGGGTTGTGCTATCAGCTCACTAGGTGCTCCATGGGTTGTGCTATCAGCTCACTAGGTCTCCATGGGTTGTGCTATCAGCTCACTAGGTGCTCCATGGGTTGTCTTAGCTCACTAGGTGCTCCATGGGTTGTGCTATCAGCTCACTAGGTGCTCCATGGGTTGTGCTATCAGCTCACTAGGTGCTCCATGGGTTGTGCTATCAGCCCACTAGGTGCTCCATGGGTTGTGCTATCAGCTCACTAGGTGCTCCATGGGTTGTGCTATCCAGCCCACTAGGTGCTCCATGGGTTGTGCTATCAGCTCCACTAGGTGCCTCCCATGGGTTGTGCTATCAGCTCACTAGGTGCTCCATGGGTTGTGCTATCAGCTCACTAGGTGCTCCATGGGTTGTGCTATCAGCTCACTAGGTGCTCCATGGGTTGTGCTATCAGCTCACTAGGTGCTCCATGGGTTGTGCTATCAGCTCCTAGGTGCTCCATGGGTTGTGGCTATCAGCCCACTAGGTGCTCCATGGGTTGTGCTATCAGCTCACTAGGTGCTCCATGGGTTGTGCTATCAGCTCCATCAGTCTCACTTAGGTGCTCCATGGGTTGTGCCTATCAGCTCACTAGGTGCTCCATGGGTTGTGCTATCAGCTCACTAGGTGCTCCATGGGTTGTGCTATCAGCTCACTAGGTGCTCCATGGGTTGTGCTATCAGCCCATGGGTTGTGCTATCAGCTCACTAGGTGCTCCATGGGTTGTGCTATCAGCTCACTAGGTGCTCCATGGGTTGTGCTATCAGCTCACTAGGTGCTCCATGGGTTGTGCTATCAGCCCACTAGGTGCTCCATGGGTTGTGCTATCAGCTCACTAGGTGCTCCATGGGTTGTGCTATCAGCTCACTAGGTGCTCCATGGGTTGTGCTATCAGCTCACTAGGTGCTCCATGGGTTGTGCTATCAGCCCACTAGGTGCTCCATGGGTTGTGCTATCAGCTCACTAGGTGCTCCATGGTTGTGCTATCAGCTCACTAGGTGCTCCATGGGTTGTGCTATCAGCTCACTAGGTGCTCCATGGGTTGTGCTATCAGCCACTAGGTGCTCCATGGGTTGTGCTATCAGCTCACTAGTGCTCCAGGGTTTGCTATCAGCCACTAGGTGCTCCATGGGTTGTGCTATCAGCTCACTAGGTGCTCCATGGGTTGTGCTATCAGCCCACTAGGTGCCTCCATGGGTTGTGCTATCAGCTCACTAGGTGCTCCATGGGTTGTGCTATCAGCTCACTAGGTGCTCCATGGGTTGTGCTATCAGCTCACTAGGTGCTCCATGGGTTGTGCTATCAGCTCACTAGGTGCTCCATGGGTTGTGCTATCAGCCACTAGGTGCTCCATGGGTTGTGCTATCAGCTCACTAGGTGCTCCATGGGTTGTGCCTATCAGCTCTCACTAGGTGCTCCATGGGTTGTGCTATCAGCTCACTAGGTGCTCCATGGGTTGTGCTATCAGCTCACTAGGTGCTCCATGGGTTGTGCTATCAGCTCACTAGGTGCTCCATGGGTTGTGCTATCAGCCACTAGGTGCTCCATGGGTTGTTGCTATCAGCTCACTAGGTGCTCCATGGGTTGTGCTATCAGCCTCACTAGGTGCTCCATGGGTTGTGCTATCAGCCCACTAGGTGCTCCATGGGTTGTGCTATCAGCTCACTAGGTGCTCCATGGGTTTGTATAGCTCACTAGGTGCTCCATGGGCTGTGCTATCAGCTCACTAGGTGCTCCATGGGTTGTGCTATCAGCTCACTAGGTGCTCCATGGGTTGTGCTATCAGCTCACTAGGTGCTCCATGGGTTGTGCTATCAGCTCACTAGGTGCTCCATGGGTTGTGCTTTCAGCTCACTAGGTGCTCCATGGGTTGTGCTATCAGCTCACTAGGTGCTCCATGGGTTGTGCTATCAGCTCACTAGGTGCTCCATGGGTTGTGCTATCAGCTCACTAGGTGCTCCATGGGTTGTGCTATCAGCCCACTAGGTGCTCCATGGGTTGTGCTATCAGCTCACTAGGTGCTCCATGGGTTGTGCTATCAGCTCACTAGGTGCTCCATGGGTTGTGCTATCAGCTCACTAGGTGCTCCATGGGTTGTGCTATCAGCTCACTAGGTGCTCCATGGGTTGTGCTATCAGCTCACTAGGTGCTCCAATGGGTTGTGTAGCTATATCAGCTCACTAGGTGCTCCATGGGTTGTGCTATCAGCTCACTAGGTGCTCCATGGGTTGTGCTATCAGCTTCACTAGGTTGCTCCATGGGTTGTGCTATCAGCTCACCTAGGGTGCTCCATGGGTTGTGCTATCAGCTCACTAGGTGCTCGCATGGGTTGTGCTATCAGCTCACTAGGTGCTCCATGGGTTGTGCCTATCAGCTCACTAGGTGCTCCATGGGTTGTGCTATCAGCTCACTAGGTGCTCCATGGGTTGTGCTATCAGCTCACTAGGTGCTCCATGGGTTGTGCTACAAGCTCACTAGGTGCTCCATGGGTTGTGCTATCAGCTCACTAGGTGCTCCATGGGTTGTGCTATCAGCTCACTAGGTGCTCCATGGGTTGTGCTATCAGCTCACTAGGTGCTCCATGGGTTGTGCTACTCACTAGGGCTCATGTTGTGCTATCAGCTCACTAGGTGCTCCATGGTTGTGCTATCAGCTCACTAGGTGCTCCATGGGTTGTGCTATCAGCCCACTAGGTGCTCCTTGGGTTGTGCTATCAGCCCACTAGGTGCTCCATGGGTTGTGCTATCAGCCACTAGGTGCTCCATGGGTTGTGCTATCAGCTCACTAGGTGCTCCATGGGTTGTGCTATCAGCTCACTAGGTGCTCCATGGGTTGTGCTATCAGCCACTAGGTGCTCTGGGTGCTACAGCTCCAGGGCTCCATGGTTTGCTATCAGCCACTAGGTGCTCCATGGGTTGTGCTATCAGCCACTAGGTGCTCCATGGGTTGTGCTATCAGCTCACTAGGTCTCCATGGGTTGTGCTATCAGCTCACTAGGTGCTCCATGGGTTGTGCTATCAGCTCACTAGGTGCTCCATGGGTTGTGCTATCAGCTCACTAGGTGCTCCATGGGTTGTGCTATCAGCTCACTAGGTGCTCCATGGGTTGTGCTATCAGCTCACTAGGTGCTCCATGGGTTGTGCTATCAGCTCACTAGGTGCTCCATGGGTTGTGCTATCAGCCCACTAGGTGCTCCTGGGTTGTGCTATCAGCTCACTAGTGCTCCATGGGTTGTGCTATCAGCTCACTAGGTGCTCCATGGGTTGTGCTATCAGCTCACTAGGTGCTCCATGGGTTGTGCTATCAGCTCACTAGGTGCTCCATGGGTTGTGCTATCAGCTCACTAGGTGCTCCATGGGTTGTGCTATCAGCTCACTAGGTGCTCCATGGGTTGTGCTATCAGCCCACTAGGTGCTCCATGGGTTGTGCTATCAGCCCACTAGGTGCTCCATGGGTTGTGCTATCAGCCCACTAGGTGCTCCATGGGTTGTGCTATCAGCCCACTAGGTGCTCCATGGGTTGTGCTATCAGCCCACTAGGTGCTCCATGGGTTGTGCTATCAGCTCACTAAGGTGCTCCATGGGTTGTGTGACTATTCAGCTTCCCACTAGGTGCTCCATGGGTTGTGCTATCAGCTCACTAGGTGCTCCATGGGTTGTGCTATCAGCTCACTAGGTGCTCCATGGGTTGTGCTATCAGCTCACTAGGTGCTCCATGGGTTGTGCTATCACCATAGGTGCTCCATGGGTTGTGCTATCAGCTCACTAGGTGCTCCATGGGTTGTGCTATCAGCCACTAGGTGCTCCATGGGTTGTGCTATCAGCCCACTAGGTGCTCCATGGGTTGTTGCTATCAGCTCCACTAAGGTGCTCCATGGGTTGTGCTATCAGCCCACTAGGTGCTCCATGGGTTGTGCTATCAGCCCACTAGGTGCTCCATGGGTTGTGCTATCAGCTCACTTCATGGTGCTCCTCACTGGCCGTTGTGCTATCAGCTCCTAGGTGCTCCATGGGTTGTGCTATCAGCTCACTAGGTGCTCCATGGGTTGTGCTATCAGCTCACTAGGTCTCCATGGGTTGTGCTATCAGCTCACTAGGTGCTCCATGGGTTGTGCTATCAGCTCACTAGGTGCTCCATGGGTTTGTGCTATCAGCTCACTAGGTGCTCCATGGGTTGTGCTATCAGCCACTAGTGCTCCATGGGTTGTGCTATCAGCTCACTAGGTGCTCCATGGGTTGTGCTATCAGCCCACTAGGTGCTCCTGGTTGTGCTATCAGCTCACTAGGTGCTCCATGGGTTGTGCTATCAGCCACTAGGTGCTCCATGGGTTGTGCTATCAGCTCACTAGGTGCTCCATGGGTGTGCTAAGCTCACTAGGTGCTCCATGGGTTGTGCTATCAGCTCACTAGGTGCTCCATGGGTTGTGCTATCAGCTCACTAGGTTGCTCCATGGGTTGTGCTATCAGCTCACTAGGTGCTCCATGGGTTGTGCTATCAGCCTCACTAGGTGCTCCATGGGTTGTGCTATCAGCCCACTAGGTGCTCCATGGGTTGTGCTATCAGCTCACTAGGTGCTCCATGGGTTGTGCTATCAGCTCACTAGGTGCTCCATGGGTTGTGCTATCAGCTCACTAGGTGCTCCATGGGTTGTGCTATCAGCTCACTAGGTGCTCCATGGGTTGTGCTATCAGCTCACTAGGTGCTCCATGGGTTGTGCTATCAGCTCACTAGGTGCTCCATGGGTTGTGCTATCAGCTCACTAGGTGCTCCATGGGTTGTGCTATCAGCTCACTAGGTGCTCCATGGGTTGTGCTATCCAGCCCACTAGGTTGCTTCTCATGGTGCTCCTGGGTTGTGCTATCAGCTCACTAGGTGCTCCATGGGTTGTGCTATCAGCTCACTAGGTGCTCCATGGGTGTGCTATCAGCCCTAGGTGCTCCATGGGTTGTGCTATTTTTGTGCTATCAGCTCACTAGGTGCTCCATGGGTTGTGCTATCAGCTCACTAGGTGCTCCATGGGTTGTGCTATCAGCTCACTAGGTGCTCCATGGGTTGTGCTATCAGCCCACTAGGTGCTCCATGGGTTGTGCTATCAGCTCACTAGGTGCTCCATGGGTTGTGCTATCAGCCCACTAGGTGCTCCATGGGTTGTGCTATCAGCTCACTAGGTGCTCCATGGGTTGTGCTATCAGCTCACTAGGTGCTCCATGGGTTGTGCTATCAGCTCACTAGGTGCTCCATGGGTTGTGCTATCAGCTCACTAGGTGCTCCATGGGTTGTGCTATCAGCTCACTAGGTGCTCCATGGGTTGTGCTATCAGCTCACTAGGTGCTCCATGGGTTGTGCTATCAGCTCACTAGGGGTGCTCCATGGGTTGTGCTATCAGCTCACTAGGTGCTCCATGGGTTGTGCTATCAGCTCACTAGGTGCTCCATGGGTTGTGCTATCAGCTCACTAGGTGCTCCATGGGTTGTGCTATCAGCTCACTAGGTGCTCCATGGGTTGTGCTATCAGCTCACTAGGTGCTCCATGGGTTGTGCTATCAGCTCACTAGGTGCTCCATGGGTTGTGCTATCAGCTCACTAGGTGCTCCATGGGTTGTGCTATCAGCTCACTAGGTGCTCCATGGGTTGTGCTATCAGCTCACTAGGTGCTCCATGGGTTGTGCTATCAGCTCACTAGGTGCTCCATGGGTTGTGCTATCAGCTCACTAGGTGCTCCATGGGTTGTGCTATCAGCTCACTAGGTGCTCCATGGGTTGTGCTATCAGCTCACTAGGTGCTCCATGGGTTGTGCTATCAGCTCACTAGGTGCTCCATGGGTTGTGCTATCAGCTCACTAGGTGCTCCATGGGTTGTGCTATCAGCTCACTAGGTGCTCCATGGGTTGTGCTATCAGCTCACTAGGTGCTCCATGGGTTGTGCTATCAGCTCACTAGGTGCTCCATGGGTTGTGCTATCAGCTCACTAGGTGCTCCATGGGTTGTGCTATCAGCTCACTAGGTGCTCCATGGGTTGTGCTATCAGCTCACTAGGTGCTCCATGGGTTGTGCTATCAGCTCACTAGGTGCTCCATGGGTTGTGCTATCAGCTCACTAGGTGCTCCATGGGTTGTGCTATCAGCTCACTAGGTGCTCCATGGGTTGTGCTATCAGCTCACTAGGTGCTCCATGGGTTGTGCTATCAGCTCACTAGGTGCTCCATGGGTTGTGCTATCAGCTCACTAGGTGCTCCATGGGTTGTGCTATCAGCTCACTAGGTGCTCCATGGGTTGTGCTATCAGCTCACTAGGTGCTCCATGGGTTGTGCTATCAGCTCACTAGGTGCTCCATGGGTTGTGCTATCAGCTCACTAGGTGCTCCATGGGTTGTGCTATCAGCTCACTAGGTGCTCCATGGGTTGTGCTATCAGCTCACTAGGTGCTCCATGGGTTGTGCTATCAGCTCACTAGGTGCTCCATGGGTTGTGCTATCAGCTCACTAGGTGCTCCATGGGTTGTGCTATCAGCTCACTAGGTGCTCCATGGGTTGTGCTATCAGCTCACTAGGTGCTCCATGGGTTGTGCTATCAGCTCACTAGGTGCTCCATGGGTTGTGCTATCAGCTCACTAGGTGCTCCATGGGTTGTGCTATCAGCTCACTAGGTGCTCCATGGGTTGTGCTATCAGCTCACTAGGTGCTCCATGGGTTGTGCTATCAGCTCACTAGGTGCTCCATGGGTTGTGCTATCAGCTCACTAGGTGCTCCATGGGTTGTGCTATCAGCTCACTAGGTGCTCCATGGGTTGTGCTATCAGCTCACTAGGTGCTCCATGGGTTGTGCTATCAGCTCACTAGGTGCTCCATGGGTTGTGCTATCAGTTCACTAGGTGCTCCATGGGTTGTGCTATCAGCTCACTAGGTGCTCCATGGGTTGTGCTATCAGCTCACTAGGTGCTCCATGGGTTGTGCTATCAGCTCACTAGGTGCTCCATGGGTTGTGCTATCAGCTCACTAGGTGCTCCATGGGTTGTGCTATCAGCTCACTAGGTGCTCCATGGGTTGTGCTATCAGCTCACTAGGTGCTCCATGGGTTGTGCTATCAGCTCACTAGGTGCTCCATGGGTTGTGCTATCAGCTCACTAGGTGCTCCATGGGTTGTGCTATCAGCTCACTAGGTGCTCCATGGGTTGTGCTATCAGCTCACTAGGTGCTCCATGGGTTGTGCTATCAGCTCACTAGGTGCTCCATGGGTTGTGCTATCAGCTCACTAGGTGCTCCATGGGTTGTGCTATCAGCTCACTAGGTGCTCCATGGGTTGTGCTATCAGCTCACTAGGTGCTCCATGGGTTGTGCTATCAGCTCACTAGGTGCTCCATGGGTTGTGCTATCAGCTCACTAGGTGCTCCATGGGTTGTGCTATCAGCTCACTAGGTGCTCCATGGGTTGTGCTATCAGCTCACTAGGTGCTCCATGGGTTGTGCTATCAGCTCACTAGGTGCTCCATGGGTTGTGCTATCAGCTCACTAGGTGCTCCATGGGTTGTGCTATCAGCTCACTAGGTGCTCCATGGGTTGTGCTATCAGCTCACTAGGTGCTCCATGGGTTGTGCTATCAGCTCACTAGGTGCTCCATGGGTTGTGCTATCAGCTCACTAGGTGCTCCATGGGTTGTGCTATCAGCTCACTAGGTGCTCCATGGGTTGTGCTATCAGCTCACTAGGTGCTCCATGGGTTGTGCTATCAGCTCACTAGGTGCTCCATGGGTTGTGCTATCAGCTCACTAGGTGCTCCATGGGTTGTGCTATCAGCTCACTAGGTGCTCCATGGGTTGTGCTATCAGCTCACTAGGTGCTCCATGGGTTGTGCTATCAGCTCACTAGGTGCTCCATGGGTTGTGCTATCAGCTCACTAGGTGCTCCATGGGTTGTGCTATCAGCTCACTAGGTGCTCCATGGGTTGTGCTATCAGCTCACTAGGTGCTCCATGGGTTGTGCTATCAGCTCACTAGGTGCTCCATGGGTTGTGCTATCAGCTCACTAGGTGCTCCATGGGTTGTGCTATCAGCTCACTAGGTGCTCCATGGGTTGTGCTATCAGCTCACTAGGTGCTCCATGGGTTGTGCTATCAGCTCACTAGGTGCTCCATGGGTTGTGCTATCAGCTCACTAGGTGCTCCATGGGTTGTGCTATCAGCTCACTAGGTGCTCCATGGGTTGTGCTATCAGCTCACTAGGTGCTCCATGGGTTGTGCTATCAGCTCACTAGGTGCTCCATGGGTTGTGCTATCAGCTCACTAGGTGCTCCATGGGTTGTGCTATCAGCTCACTAGGTGCTCCATGGGTTGTGCTATCAGCTCACTAGGTGCTCCATGGGTTGTGCTATCAGCTCACTAGGTGCTCCATGGGTTGTGCTATCAGCTCACTAGGTGCTCCATGGGTTGTGCTATCAGCTCACTAGGTGCTCCATGGGTTGTGCTATCAGCTCACTAGGTGCTCCATGGGTTGTGCTATCAGCTCACTAGGTGCTCCATGGGTTGTGCTATCAGCTCACTAGGTGCTCCATGGGTTGTGCTATCAGCTCACTAGGTGCTCCATGGGTTGTGCTATCAGCTCACTAGGTGCTCCATGGGTTGTGCTATCAGCTCACTAGGTGCTCCATGGGTTGTGCTATCAGCTCACTAGGTGCTCCATGGGTTGTGCTATCAGCTCACTAGGTGCTCCATGGGTTGTGCTATCAGCTCACTAGGTGCTCCATGGGTTGTGCTATCAGCTCACTAGGTGCTCCATGGGTTGTGCTATCAGCTCACTAGGTGCTCCATGGGTTGTGCTATCAGCTCACTAGGTGCTCCATGGGTTGTGCTATCAGCCACTAGGTGCTCCATGGGTTGTGCTATCAGCTCACTAGGTGCTCCATGGGTTGTGCTATCAGCCACTAGGTGCTCCATGGGTTGTGCTATCAGCTCACTAGGTGCTCCATGGGTTGTGCTATCAGCTCACTAGGTGCTCCATGGGTTGTGCTATCAGCTCACTAGGTGCTCCATGGGTTGTGCTATCAGCTCACTAGGTGCTCCATGGGTTGTGCTATCAGCTCACTAGGTGCTCCATGGGTTGTGCTATCAGCTCACTAGGTGCTCCATGGGTTGTGCTATCAGCTCACTAGGTGCTCCATGGGTTGTGCTATCAGCTCACTAGGTGCTCCATGGGTTGTGCTATCAGCTCACTAGGTGCTCCATGGGTTGTGCTATCAGCTCACTAGGTGCTCCATGGGTTGTGCTATCAGCTCACTAGGTGCTCCATGGGTTGTGCTATCAGCTCACTAGGTGCTCCATGGGTTGTGCTATCAGCTCACTAGGTGCTCCATGGGTTGTGCTATCAGCTCACTAGGTGCTCCATGGGTTGTGCTATCAGCTCACTAGGTGCTCCATGGGTTGTGCTATCAGCTCACTAGGTGCTCCATGGGTTGTGCTATCAGCTCACTAGGTGCTCCATGGGTTGTGCTATCAGCTCACTAGGTGCTCCATGGGTTGTGCTATCAGCTCACTAGGTGCTCCATGGGTTGTGCTATCAGCTCACTAGGTGCTCCATGGGTTGTGCTATCAGCTCACTAGGTGCTCCATGGGTTGTGCTATCAGCTCACTAGGTGCTCCATGGGTTGTGCTATCAGCTCACTAGGTGCTCCATGGGTTGTGCTATCAGCTCACTAGGTGCTCCATGGGTTGTGCTATCAGCTCACTAGGTGCTCCATGGGTTGTGCTATCAGCTCACTAGGTGCTCCATGGGTTGTGCTATCAGCTCACTAGGTGCTCCATGGGTTGTGCTATCAGCTCACTAGGTGCTCCATGGGTTGTGCTATCAGCTCACTAGGTGCTCCATGGGTTGTGCTATCAGCTCACTAGGTGCTCCATGGGTTGTGCTATCAGCTCACTAGGTGCTCCATGGGTTGTGCTATCAGCTCACTAGGTGCTCCATGGGTTGTGCTATCAGCTCACTAGGTGCTCCATGGGTTGTGCTATCAGTCCACTAGGTGCTCCATGGGTTGTGCTATCAGCTCACTAGGTGCTCCATGGGTTGTGCTATCAGCTCACTAGGTGCTCCATGGGTTGTGCTATCAGCTCACTAGGTGCTCCATGGGTTGTGCTATCAGCTCACTAGGTGCTCCATGGGTTGTGCTATCAGCTCACTAGGTGCTCCATGGGTTGTGCTATCAGCTCACTAGGTGCTCCATGGGTTGTGCTATCAGCTCACTAGGTGCTCCATGGGTTGTGCTATCAGCTCACTAGGTGCTCCATGGGTTGTGCTATCAGCTCACTAGGTGCTCCATGGGTTGTGCTATCAGCTCACTAGGTGCTCCATGGGTTGTGCTATCAGCTCACTAGGTGCTCCATGGGTTGTGCTATCAGCTCACTAGGTGCTCCATGGGTTGTGCTATCAGCTCACTAGGTGCTCCATGGGTTGTGCTATCAGCTCACTAGGTGCTCCATGGGTTGTGCTATCAGCTCACTAGGTGCTCCATGGGTTGTGCTATCAGCTCACTAGGTGCTCCATGGGTTGTGCTATCAGCTCACTAGGTGCTCCATGGGTTGTGCTATCAGCTCACTAGGTGCTCCATGGGTTGTGCTATCAGCTCACTAGGTGCTCCATGGGTTGTGCTATCAGCTCACTAGGTGCTCCATGGGTTGTGCTATCAGCTCACTAGGTGCTCCATGGGTTGTGCTATCAGCTCACTAGGTGCTCCATGGGTTGTGCTATCAGCTCACTAGGTGCTCCATGGGTTGTGCTATCAGCTCACTAGGTGCTCCATGGGTTGTGCTATCAGCTCACTAGGTGCTCCATGGGTTGTGCTATCAGCTCACTAGGTGCTCCATGGGTTGTGCTATCAGCTCACTAGGTGCTCCATGGGTTGTGCTATCAGCTCACTAGGTGCTCCATGGGTTGTGCTATCAGCTCACTAGGTGCTCCATGGGTTGTGCTATCAGCTCACTAGGTGCTCCATGGGTTGTGCTATCAGCTCACTAGGTGCTCCATGGGTTGTGCTATCAGCTCACTAGGTGCTCCATGGGTTGTGCTATCAGCTCACTAGGTGCTCCATGGGTTGTGCTATCAGCTCACTAGGTGCTCCATGGGTTGTGCTATCAGCTCACTAGGTGCTCCATGGGTTGTGCTATCAGCTCACTAGGTGCTCCATGGGTTGTGCTATCAGCTCACTAGGTGCTCCATGGGTTGTGCTATCAGCTCACTAGGTGCTCCATGGGTTGTGCTATCAGCTCACTAGGTGCTCCATGGGTTGTGCTATCAGCTCACTAGGTGCTCCATGGTTGTGCTATCAGCTCACTAGGTGCTCCATGGGTTGTGCTATCAGCTCACTAGGTGCTCCATGGGTTGTGCTATCAGCTCACTAGGTGCTCCATGGGTTGTGCTATCAGCTCACTAGGTGCTCCATGGGTTGTGCTATCAGCTCACTAGGTGCTCCATGGGTTGTGCTATCAGCTCACTAGGTGCTCCATGGGTTGTGCTATCAGCTCACTAGGTGCTCCATGGGTTGTGCTATCAGCTCACTAGGTGCTCCATGGGTTGTGCTATCAGCTCACTAGGTGCTCCATGGGTTGTGCTATCAGCTCACTAGGTGCTCCATGGGTTGTGCTATCAGCTCACTAGGTGCTCCATGGGTTGTGCTATCAGCTCACTAGGTGCTCCATGGGTTGTGCTATCAGCTCACTAGGTGCTCCATGGGTTGTGCTATCAGCTCACTAGGTGCTCCATGGGTTGTGCTATCAGCTCACTAGGTGCTCCATGGGTTGTGCTATCAGCTCACTAGGTGCTCCATGGGTTGTGCTATCAGCTCACTAGGTGCTCCATGGGTTGTGCTATCAGCTCACTAGGTGCTCCATGGGTTGTGCTATCAGCTCACTAGGTGCTCCATGGGTTGTGCTATCAGCTCACTA